GCATGGTTCTTACGCACGCTCTGCTTATTCTGTTTGTCATGCCGTCTTTTGGAAGAGCTTTGAGTCCACTAACTCAAAGCCCTTTCAGGAAATAATCATCCTGCAACTGTTTTGACGCTTACGGAACTTTCTAAAAAAATTTTTGCCGACTAGCGCCCTATTCCGCACTGTGATGTTCAGATACGCGACCGTAACCGAGCCACTACACTGTGTGTACAAATTCGACTACGACAAATACTCTGGCACGTTTGACCTCGAAGATGACAACAGCCCAGTTGGTGAGGTGAATCGGCACAAATTCTACGGTACGTGGCCTATAACTGAAAATTCGTTTTTTAATTGAATTTTTGAGGTTCAGTATTTGGATATGAAATTTAGAAACTCGTGTCCAAAATTCAGTATCAAATCTGCTTATATCGATTGAATTGCCTTCCTATATTTTGCACGGTAAAAACAGGGAGGGCATTGTCAATAGGAACACATATTAGTATAGGAAGAAATCGGCGCTACATGATTAGCGCCAAAAATGGCTAGGCAATTGCCTGTCTCACCTTCGCTTGATCTGTCACTCCACCGATGATTGGAGGTGACAACCAGACGAGATGGATCTCGTGATAAAGCGTCTGCGGCAAGCAACATGAGTGCATCTGCTGGATTCCCGCATGAGATCGCCTAGGTGCTAAATCATGTGATTTTGAAGTTACTTGTCAATAAGTCACAGGGAAAGAAAAGTTTGTTTTCCGATGTTTGAAACTCTCCCTGGGACGGAAGTTGTTCCCCTAACTCAGCAATCTTTTGAAACGTTCGCAACGGGAACTGCGGCATTAGACTGCAGTTACAAGCCAAAATCATCAAATACAGGAGACTTAATTTGGGCCAGACTTATGGAAAAACTGTGAGCCGGCGATAAATCTCAAGTAGTATTTAAATCGCAATGCAAGCCTCACATTCCCGCTTCTTACCTGATTTTAAGGACTTTTTTTGAAGATGACGCTCCTTTATTTCGCGCCCTCATTCTGGCCTTCCAACTTGAAGAATGAAATCCCATTGCTGCAAGTTATATTCAAGCTTTTCTTCCCTTTGAGATGATTTCCAATGATAGGCGGATTTCATTAATCCGACGAAGCTGTACATATCTTCAAACAGTTGCAATTCGTAACAAACCTCGTGCTCTGATAATTGAACTCGGGTACAAAAGAAGCGCCGACGTGGCGCGTCAACATCGATTCTAGAGGCAGAGGAATCCGGTTCCCAGTCTACGATCACACATATCGCCATTTCATCGCCTGTACGATGAGTCATGCATACTCCAGCAGTAATTCACGATGAGTCATGGAGAGATCGTAATCGCCACTTATACATGCATTAAGGATATAATTATTTCGAACATTCCGACGACGGAGAAACCTAACGACCAGAAACCGTAGCTGAATTATGTGCGTTCAGTGGAAACGATTTGTCATTGGGAAGGAGACATTGCTGGGAAATGACTGAATTACAGAAGTCCTGTCCTTCCCAAGTTCCTCAAATAGGCCCTGCACTATCGGGTACAGCCATTCTTGTTCGTGGTTACGTTGACTCGGTTTTGCTCTCTTGTCGAGCAGTTTGCGCTTGGGCTGCACAGAGAACGTTACCCACTCATCGGTGCCGTCTTTATCTACACTCTTAGGTGGTAAACACACTGTATTTACTGTTTTCACTTCTACTTTACTTTTTATTCTTTCTACACATGACTCACCATCCGGAATCTCAGCAGAAGGACGAGTTTACATGTGACTCATGAGCGCTACGAATTGGGTCGCAGGACAGAAAAAATAATGCTTACCGGACAACGGCGATTAAATCGGCTATAGAGGTCGTCAGCGAAGGAAACGGGTGGAGAACCACTGAATTGCTAGCACATGTGAGCGCAAGTGAGAATTAACAAGCCCGAATTTCCATTGTTCCCTGCAACGTCAAGAAGGGTTTTGATGGTTGAAAAGGCCTTAAAAAGCTCTGCTTGCTACAAAGGTAATCCGAGGCGTTTATACACTTCTCACGGAAACAATTCGTATACATTTCGATGACAAATGGTGACCAAATGGTGACCATATGAACAGAAGAATATTAACATACTAGCGACCGATCAATTTTTCCCTGGTTCCAATAAATGCATCCTCATGCTGGGAAATCCCTGTACAACGGACGTCTAAGGAATTGGACCTGTGCGGGATCTGTTGCGAATCCGTTTTTTATTTTCAGTGTATCGATGCCTTCACACTAAGCGAAAATGTCCCGTTCAACCGAGCAATGATTTTCGAAAAATTCCAATTTTCCATCCCATATTTAACCCAATGGTTCGGATGTCATTTTTTTCGGAGGTTATCTTTAAAGCTTACACCAAATACAAGGAAAATCATCCTTCACAAGCACATCAGAAAAAAATCATTCTAAAAATTATTGGCAGATTCTGTCACTTTTTTCATCGCTTCGGTAAAACACACTCGTGAAAGCGTGAAAGATGTGCTCAAACCATAGCCGCATAAGCACCGCAATGGATTTCAGGCTAATAGGCTTTCGCTAGAAGTTCCGAATGCGCGTCCTACCGATCTTTGTTATTTACGAGTGATGTGGGCTAAATCGAAAGTTCATTACTTCTTCTAATAAGGCATGATTTCAGGATGGCATACAGCAACACTGATACTGCTGGGCTTCGCGCTGATCACGTCTTTCCTGTCTATCTGTCTTGGAATGTGCTCATGTTGCTACGGTTCTCTCAGTCTCGTGTTTACTGCCGCCACTCTTCTTAGCAGTGAGTTCACGTTCAATTGAGTTCATACCTGAAAGCAAGTACGAATAAGTGCATAGCCTAGACACAAGCTGAACTGAGGGAGGTCAGATTTCCCTGGGGTGGAACCATCAATTTCCACTGGTTCGCAGTTCATACTTTGTTTTTTAGTTAATGCCTTTCCATAGAATGTCCCATTGAATTTGCCCTTCATTTTTGGACAGCTCTCACAGTTTTTTTATCGCCTACTGACCCTGCAGGAAATTATTTATTATCAAGTATTGATATTATTATTAAGTATTTATTAAAGACAATACTCTGGAGGTTGACTTGGAGGATGGTCTTTCAGAAAAACCAGAGCAAGAACACCACACATTTGTTTGCAGCTTTTTTGCTAAATAGAAGCTTAAGAAAGCATTCGACGTCAACCCCGCTACGGAATGCGCCTCGTATTCTACTTCCATCCAGAAACCTAGAAGCAATTTTGACGCTACCTGGACTCTACAATGACTTGCGGGGGCCAGCCGACACAAATCAGTGCTTTAATCCTCCCAGAAAAGTCCGGTAGCAACAAACCGTCCCTAGAGAGATGGAAGGCCGGGCGGTCCCTTGCTGGCCTGGACGCAGTATGACCCAGGATCTGATCCCAGAACGTGCTCGTGATGAACAGCGCCACTTACCAATATACCGCTTCGGTCCTTTTTTCTACACAGTTCGAGAAACTGTTTCATTGCAGCGTTCCTTTCGTCGGTTGCTGTAGGCATCTTCTTCTTTTACTCCCATCGTGCCGACAATCGTTTCATCAAGGGTATCGTTGGAACCTACGAGGTGAGGCTTGCAATTCGAAGATATGCTCCGTATTTTTTCCCTACAGTCTTCTTCTTACTTTGATACTATTTAGATTACGATTTACATAATCCTTTTAATTTAAAATTGTGGAACGAATGAAGGTGTAAACATTTTCAGCGGCTTGACTGTCTAACCGATTTGTCCTTTTAGCAAAGAGTCGGTGTGGCGTTCTTCCTGGAAATGGCAGCCGCGTTTGTCCACTTCGTGGCTTTCCTTGTCTCCATGGTCTCCACCTACTTCTCTTTCGTCAGCTCTAAGAAGCTCCAGATCACTACAGTCTACAACGTAGTTCCCGGACAAATGTCACGAATATAGGCAGGTGAGGTGTTCGAATCCAAACCACATTTTCTGCACATAAGAAATTTGTTCAAGCTTGAAACGAGAGTGAAGAAAGGTAGCGAAGCTAATACGCAAGCTGCTAGCTGAAATCACTCAGAAGCTTTATCCTCTTAGGAGCCAAAGCCGTCTAAGCACATATCCCCTTCAGGTCGAATGGAGTTCGATGCACCGCTTATGTATCAGTCGCAGACTCCCCAGTCCATCATACGACCACCCTACTCAAAACAGGAAGAATACGATCGAACAGTCGCTGAAAGCATGCCTGAATTAGGAATGAACAGGTCAGAGTTCTGGATATTTCGTCCAGGAAATCCCGACTTTTAGATAGTGTGACAGAATTATTATTTATTATATCTTATATATTATTATTATTCTTAATTATTTTTTAGCTTTAACCCTGGATTAATCCTTTTTAAATTTAATTTTCCATAAATACTTAACGCTGAAAAATAGGTAACACTACAGGTGCTCGGATGAGAAGACAGGAAAATTTCGCGGTGGCAAGCTTGAAGAGTTTTTTCTCTCAATACACAACTTACTGGGTTGACACATAATGTCGCAGCGTTTTTGTCGAACACAAGCATTGCGAAGCTCGATTCAAGCCGTGTAAGCAAACCATTGGCAGGTTTTTGCCAAGGTCTCGCTCCTCACGAGCGTTCTTCAGAACATGGCGTTTTTCCAGTGTCACCATGCGCAAATCACGGCTTTTTAGTCCCATGCATCGTTGAAGCTAATACCTACTTTTTCAACCTGTCCAACCACATTCGATCTGTTGGCACGCTGAGGTACACTAATAATATACGATGTTCCCCATTGCAATGGTAGCTTTTTGTACTTCATGAAAACACTCAAGAATGGCAGTAGTCAAAAACGCTGATTCTTTCCGCCTCGATGTTCCATTTCCTGAGCGCTGTATTCGACTACAGTAGACTCTAAAGAGACTCATAAGCAGAGAACTGTGGAACGGATTGGGGCTTTTGAACATTGTGAGCAGGTTCATATGTGTTAGACACGAATTACATATTTAAACGGATGTGGACGCAGTTTTCGAGCTGCATTGTTTCCTCCAATAACTCAGCATAAAGGACGAATTTAGCGCTCATGACACGTACCAACGTATGCGATCTCGACCATTTAAAGGAAGCAGTCACGATAATTTTCATGGCAACGATAAGGAAAGCTATGTATTGGAGTGGATAGAGGTCCTGCCCAATGTTAGAACACGTAAAGTTTCAGTGGCAGTGGCCCCTTATCAATGAAGTGATAAGGAGCCGAAATTCACTCAAGTTCAGCAAAAACCAAGACTTATCGATGTGGAAAGGGGTGCGATAAGAGCGTGCTAGATATGATACCGTTATCGTTATCGTCCCGTTTTCATTCTGGAGTGCACCTCTTATCAAGCAGCCGCACCTTCTTATCTCATCGTATCATATCTTCCATGGGCTTACACTCGTCCAACAATTACTGCCTCACACCTTATCGATTGATAACGCGAGGGTAGCAAATCCAGCGTGGAAGCCAGCGTGACCGCTTCCTTTAAAAAAAGGCTAATTAAATCGACGTGTGACCGGTGGGTGGAGGAAACCCTGAGTCTTTCACATTTACGCCTGACAGGGTCCAAGAGAACGTCCCTTCACTAGAATAATAGACAATTCTGCCTGGGTTTAAGAAGTAGAGGAGTCTCCCAGCGTGGTGACCTGTGCAGAAAAACGGGGTAGAATTTTGGCAAATTGTGTAGAATGTAATACATCCACCGAGCCTTACAAAAGTACTCTCGGAATGAATCGGTTACTTATTATCTCCAGTTCTACAAATGAGATAGCACAGAGTACCCCCCCCCCTCCCTCCGAACTGGAGTTTCACCATTTAATTGCATAAGAATCGCCACAACTTTGTGTGCCAAGCCAAATTGGCTGGAAGTCGATCAAGCTTCGATGATTACAGTAGGTTGCGAACTTGTGATCACTGCGATGACACTCAGTTTTCTTTATTCCACAAATTCCTCCTTCTTTTGCATTTATTTTATATGTAGGCTAAAAAAATCGGCAAAGGTCCTTGTCAACGAAGAACTTAGTGAGCTCCAAATTTACTCGGACACATATCCTTCCTGACGGAGTAGGTGGTGAGCTTTTCTCCCATTCCAGCTACCAAAAGCTATGGGACTTGAAATATCAAATTTTAAAAATTTTATGAATTCCGCTACATCTCTCTCTGCCCATGACGTCCCACCAGGGTCGCTGAATTTTGGATTCAATTTTTTCCTCGGAACTGTCCACAACAGTGATTGACCAGGAACTCTGATCCGCAGGCTCTTGTCCGAGTACTAAAATGAACTTGATAATTATGATTATTTGTTCAATTATTTATTTGTTCAGTTGTTAATTTATTTATTTGTTTACTGCACATAGGTGCACTAACAGCACAGTAGCGGAAATAATAAGAAGTGAGATCAAAGTCAGATGACTGTGCTTTAAATTCGTCGATGTTTCAGAGGAGCTTTCCCCTCGTCAGACTTCTTCCCGCAGAGAATACGTCGAAAGAGCGAGACGTGTGTCTAAAAATGTCTACCTGATCATGTATCGATTGCTATTGATTATTTCACTGCCAGTTCACTTCAGACTGTTATTTCTACTTTTTATTTCTTTTTTATTGTCCTTTACTTGAGCCGTTTAGAAGTGATAACTGACCCCGGTGAAATTACGCTAATGAAGACTTTGTAAGTTTGACCTACGCTCGTTTCTCTTTCCTAGAACTGCGTGCGAAGTGCTGCCGATGGACCTCGCCAGTTGTAATGTTGTCCATACAGGACGCTAATCTGAAGCAGCGTACTGCTTTCATTCCTTTGCCAAAGGTGCGCTCATCTACCCAGTCGAGGTGCGCCATGTACCTAAGCCGAGTCTATGCGCCCCCCCCCCTTCCACCTTCCGTGGTGTTCTCTACCCATGGCGTGCCTTGAATCTAGCATCCTACATATTGTCCCACTCATCATTGCTCCATTAACATGCTTTCTACTTTATATTTGCATTTTTGAAGACTTTTTTGTTATCACCTGATTTTATCGATTTCTTCATTTATTTGTGACGTTCCATGTTCAGGGAACTAATCAGTGCATGGTCTCTGATGCGTTATTTACCCTCATTTGCGTTCTCCATAGGGCTGTTCACTCATTGCCTTGTCTTTACGCTTTTACCATTACGGCATTAATTTTATTGATCATATATGAATGTAAAGAAATTTAAATGAATATAGTTTAGTATCGTAATCCTCATACGTATTGATTCATTATGCGTGCCGCATCTTGCCTGTTGTATAATATTGTATTACTTATTTGTGATTTTGTCGTGTTTCATGTTTGTTTCTTTTTTCGTCTCTTGTCGATAAAATGATTATGATAAAGAAATAAAACGAATTCTTCCTCCGAATTCCCTGCAGGTTAGCAGGAGCTGCCGTGAGGAATTGCGGGCAAATACTGACAGCAACATAAACCCTTAACCCCTTCGGCCCTGACGGTGGTTACCATCATCAAATTCAGAGGTCTATATTACCAACGCAGCAGCATATTTCTAGTGCCCCTGCTGAGGTTACTTCAGAAGACCTCCTCCGTCCGAGTTTTGCTGGACATCTAACATTTTATTGCGTGCCTCTGTTAGCATTACAAGTATTTGTGTACCAGTGCAACAGTGAATCGCGCTGGTCCATAACACAACGTTATTTAGAAATGAATTTTTTTCCTAAAATATTTTAAAGTACTATACTCCTATTGTCATTGAAATGGTGAAGTTAAATGTTATGCAACACCACAAACTCTCTCGACATAATTGATAACTTCGGAATTTTTCCGAGATGAACTAAAAATTATTAACTCGTGTCAATTGCCCTAGCTCCTTAGGTTCTTTTAGTTTGTATTGAAAAAATTCGTATTACTATTATGTATTTATGTGCTTGCAAGTGATAAAGAATAGCAAGATAAAATTTCTCCTGCGGAAAAATTCAGGGATGAAAGGGTTATGAGAAGTTATGGGACATCACGGAGCGATGCTGGCTATTTATTTTTATCTTTTGCTTTCCCAGTGATCTGTGAACCAAATCTCGTTCAAGTCACCGAACGTCCGTTCCGTAGTGGTTGATGGTGCCAAATAGGCCTTCACCACAAAGCAACTGTCGGTTTCGCGCGAGAATCTAAGTCCTTTTGCACTTTTGAAGGCAAGCCTCGGGATGAAACTGGTGATAAAAACGCTTCGTAGATGATATAAGAGTGATGACTCAGCTGCGGAACGACCTGAAAGTGGAAAGGAAAGCAAGAGAAATCTTTGGAAACGCTGAAATTAAGGCCTTAACCTTCAAAAGGTCGGATGTGGTACGATGGCGAGACAGGGCGATCAAAGAAGACAAAAATACGCGAGAGATCACGCCGTTTGAGAGAGCACGCTGATCTCTACATCTCGAGGTGGGTGGGAAGCGTTGCAACGGGGTCGATGGTTGCAGGCCCGTAAGGATTAGCGCCCTAACCGCAAATTTTGCGACGAAGCTGGAGTGATCTAGGTAGGTACAAACTTCCCTCACGGTATCCTTCCCACATTTCGGGCTAGTCCCGGGGTTTGCCTTTAATATAAGTCCCTGAACGCTGACGCTGGCTTGGAAATTCGGACGAATTCATTTGCAGCGGCTTTGGATGCACATATCTACAATTGCTTCTTTGCGTTAGGATCAAGAAAACATGTAAAGATAAAGATAAAAAGGAAATCACGAAAATAAATTACTAAATATTATTGTTATATAGATATAAAAACCAATAAAAAGATGTAGATTTGTGAAGATAAAAAGCAAAAATAAATGATAAATAACTGAAACATTGAACATCAGAACGTCCAAGTATTAGAGGCTGATTTTTGAGCCTATATCTATTTTAACCTAAGGATATCTTCATTAGCCCGTAGGCGGGAGCCCAATTTCCTACACATGCTCTACGCCTTCCT